CATTAGTGGATCAAGGAAAATGGTTTACTAATTCTTTGTACAATGCTGTAGATTCAGAACAGTGACCCACTTATAGTACAGTGTACCAAAACTAGAACAGCGACACATTAACTATCTTTCTGGAAGAAAAATGCTAAATTTCTAAGTGATTTTTAATAGCTCAGTCAGAAAGTCTAAATTTTATAATTGGATCAAATCTTTTTTCAGTCTTGCATAGAGTGGGGGAGGATATAACCCTTCATCAGGCTTTATAAGGGTTAGGTAATAGGGACAAGGGTAGCAAAGAAAATAACTTAGTATAATAAGAAAGGGTTACAAATATCAGTCAGATTTTATTTTTTTGTGGCCTGTATCGTCCTGTTCTGGTGATACGGCCTCAATTTAACCGCATGCCGCCCAGCCACTGTACATATTCGGCGGCAGGGCGGCACTCACAGGCAAAACCACATTTTAAGACGTGTGTTTTGTAAACAAATAGGGGGCGTGCACGAGGCGCGCCGCCGCCCTATTTGTCCCGCGGTTCTCTGCCGCAGATGTCAGTCGCCGGGTCACAGCCGCTCCTTAGCGGCTATGTCCCGGCGATCGGCGGCGAACAGTAGCTGTGCTGTCTGTCACTTCCCTGACAGCTCGAGGATGAGCTGATCGAGAAAGAACAGTTTTTCTTTCTCGATCAGCCTTGTCCCGCCCAGTACACACCCCGCCCCCTAGTGAAACACTCCCCTCACTCCTATAACCCTTCCCTGCTAAATAAAGTTAACCCCTTCCTCCCCATTGCCATTAGTACAGTGTCAGTTTTTTTTTTTTTTTTTTTTGCACTGATCACTGTATTAGTGTTTTTGGGGATGTCAGTGACCCCAAGTCAGTATCCCCCAATGTCAAAATGTCCCGCCATAAGTCGTTGGTCGCTGCCATAAAAAGTCCCTGATCGCCGCCATAATTCGCTGATCGCCATTATCAGTATAAAAAAAAACCTAAAAATCCCAGTATCTTTCCCGCCATTTGTAAACGCTATAACTTTCACGTAAACCAATTAATTTACACGTATTGGGTTTTTTTTTTTAGCAAAGACATGTCGCAGAATGCATTTTGGCAGAAATTTATGACTAAATTTGATTTTTGCATTTTTTTTTTTTACTGGACATGTTTTATAGCAAAAAGTCCAAAATATTGTTTTTTTTTCCTCAAAATTGTCAGCCTTTTTTTTTATAGCGCAAAAAATAAAAACCGCACAGGCAATCAAATACCACCAAAAGAAAGCTCAATTTGTGGGGAAAAAAAAGGATGTAAATTTCATTTATGTACCGTATTGCATGACCGCGCAATTGTCCGTTAAACTAGCGCAGTGCTGTATAGCAGAAAAATGGCGTAAATTGCAGTATCTATCCCATAGTTTGTAAACGCTATAACTTCCACACAAAGCAATCAATATACACTTATTGGGATTTTTTTTACCAAAAACATGGAGCAGAATACATTTTGGCCTAAATTTATAACCAACTTTGAGTTTACTATATACAGTCATGGCCGAAATTGTTGGCACCCTTGATATTTTTCCTGAAAATCAAGTATTTCACACAAAAAAGGTATTGCATTAACACATGTTTTGCTATACACATGTTTATTCCCTTTGTATGTATTGGAACAAATATAAAACAGAGGCAGAAAAGCAAATATGACATAATGTCACACAAAACCCCCAAAAATGGGCTGGACAAAAGTATTGGCACCCTTAACTTAATATTTGGTTGCACACCCTTTGGAAAACATAACTGAAATCAGTCGCTTCCTATAACCATCAATAAGCTTCTGACACCTCTCACCCGGAATTTTGGACCACTCTTCCTTTGCAAACAGCTCCAGGTCTCTCTTATTGGAAGGACACACCTTTTCCCAACAGCAATTTTAAGATCTCTCCACAGGTGTTCAATGGGATTTAGATCTGGGCTCATTGCTGGCCACTTCAGAACTCTCCAGCGCTTCTTTGCCATCCATTTCTGAGTGCTTTTTGACGTATGTTTGGGGTCATTGTCCTGCTGGAAGACCCAGGATCTTGGACGCAAACCCAGCTTTCTGACACTGGGCCCTACAGTGCGACCCAAAATCCTTTGGTAATCCTCAGATTTCATGATGCCTTGCACACAGTCAAGGCACCCAGTGCCAGAGGCAGCAAAACAACCCCAAAACATCATTGAACCTCCACCATATTTTACCGTAGGTACTGTGTTTTGTTCTTTGTAGGCCTCATTCCGTTTTCGGTAAACAGTAGAATGATGTGCTTTACCGAAAAGCTCTATCTTGGTCTCATCTGTCCACAAGACGTTTTCCCAGAAGGCTTTTGGCTTACTCAAGTACATTTTGGCAAACTGTAGTCTTGCTTTTTTATGTCTCTGTGTCAGCAGTGGGGTCCTCCTGGGTCTCCTGCCATAGCGTTTCATTTCATTTAAATGTCGACGGATAGTTCGCGCTGACACTGATGCTCCCTGAGCCTGCAGGACAGCTTGAATGTCTTTGGAACATGTTTGGGGCTGCTTATCCACCATCCGGACTATTCTGCGTTGCAATCTTTCATCAATTTTCCTCATCCGTCCACGACCAGGGAGATTAGCTACAGTGCCATGGGTTGCAAACTTCTTGATAATGTTGCGCACTGTGGACAAAGGCAAATCTAGTTCTCTGGAGATGGACTTGTAACCTTGAGATTGTTGATATTTTGCCACAATTTTGGTTCTCAGGTCCTCAGACAGTTCTCGTCTCCTCTTTCTGTTGTCCATGCTTAGTGTGGCACAGACAGACACACAATGCAAAGGTTAAGTGAACGTCTCTCCTTTTTATCTGCTTTCAGGTGTGATTTCTATATTGCCCACACCTGTTACTTCCCCCAGGTGAGTTTACAGGAGCATCACATGCTTGTAACATTCTTATTTATCCGCAGTTGTGAAAGGGTGCCAATACTTTTGTCCAGCCCATTTTTGGAGGTTTGTGTGACATTATGTCGAATTTGCTTTCTTTCCTCCCTTTTTTTGTTTTGTCCCAATACACACAAAGGGAATAAACATGTGTATAGCAAAACATGTGTTAATGCAATACGTTTCGTGAGAAATACATGATTTCCTGGAGAAATATCAAGGGTGCCAACAATTTCGGCCATGACTGTATTTTTTATAGCTGAAAATAAAAAATATTGTTTTTCTTCAAAATTTTTGGCCTTTTTTTGTTTATAGCATGAAAAATAAAAAGCGCACAGGTGATCAAATATCACCGAAAGAAAGCTCTATTTGTGTGAAAAAAAGGACGTAAATTTCGTTTGGGTGCAGCATTGCATGACCGCGCAATTATCAGTTGAATTAGTGCAGAGCAGAGTAGCAAAAAGAGGCGTGGTCATTAAGGGGGGTAAATCCTCAGGAGCTCAAGTGGTTAAATGTTTTCACCGGGGCAGGGGGGGGGGGTGAATCCACTCATGCACACTGCAATAAAAACCTAATCAACATTCTAGAATCAACACCACTTGTACGTGCATGCCAAGGACAACTGAATGCTAAACATACCAAATCCACCTACCCAATCCCCACATTCCACAAAGCCCCTTTATGCTAAAGTTTTGGCTAGAGTTCCACTTTAACTTTTGGGACCATAAATGTTTCTGTGACAAATCAAGGCTTAAAAAACTGATGTTTAATCAGCTGCAGTGCTGATTGGCCCTGTGCTGCTCACATGCACTCTCCCAAGAAAAAAAAACAAAACCTCTCTAGCAATACACACCAAACTGAGCATTTCTCCAAATGATATGTCTTATCAGGAGATAAGAGGGGGGGGGCACTGGAAGAAGGGGAGGATCAGAGAAGTCAGGATCAAAGAGTATTTTTACACAATACAGAGGATTAACCTATTAGGTTCCACAGTGAGCATGACAAGCATGCTTTACTGCATATACAGACTGATTGTACTGTGGTGGGTTTAGGAACACTTTAAAGTGATACTACGGTCTTGTTTTTTAAAAAAAAAACTTGGTAAAGTTATTAAAATGCTATATATATGTATATATATATATATATATATATATACGTGATTTTGCATTTCCGGGTAGGGGGCGCGCATGGGCCCTACCCGTGCCGCCATTCACAGCCGCAGCTGTAAGTCACCGGGTCCTGGCCGGTGATTACTCACCTGCACCCAGTGATTGCTGAGCATCTCCGATGGGAAGGAGAATTGTTTGTAAACAAAACAGTTCTCCTCCCTGTCAGCTCGTGCACACTGCTTTGGACGGCTCTGCACAGCACAGCCAAAGCAGTGTGGTTACAGTGAAGCACAGGGACACAGCACATAGTAAAACAGCACACAGTTAACCCTTTGATCGCCCCAGATGTTAACCCCTTCCTGCCCAGTGCCATTAGTACAGTGTCAGTGCTTTTTTTTTTTTAGCACTGATCACTGTATTGGTGTCACTGAGGATCTCAGTGACACCAAGTCCATTCCCCCCAGTGTCAGAATGCCCACCGCAGTCCCACAATAAGTCGCTGATCGCCGCCATTACTAGTAAAAAAATTTAAAAAATGTAAAATCCCAGTATGTATACCGCCATTTGTAAACACTATAACTTTCACGTAAACCAATTAATTTACACGTATTGGGATTTTTTTTTAGCAAAGACAAAGAAATTTTTTCACTGGACATGTTTAATAGCAAAAAGTCAAAAATATTGTTTTTTTTTCCTCAAAATTGTAGGTCTTTTTTTTCATAGCACAAAAAATAAAAAACGCACAGGCGATCAAATACCGCCAAAAGAAAGCTCATTTGGGTGCAACGTTGCATGACCGCGCAATTGTCAGTTAAAGTAATGCAGCGCCGTATCGCAAAAAATGGCCTGGTCATGAAGGGGGGGAAATCTTCTTGAGGTCAAGGGGTAGTATATTGCTTTTTTACAGTTCAGCGGAACAAATGCTTGTAGCTAAACTATGTGTATACTGAGAAATGTTGATTAATTGGTGTTTTCTCGTTTATTCCAGGTTACTTCGAATGATTATCAGACTTGCAATGAAACTCAATACTTCAAAGAAACATGGAGAAAGTGCTGCTCTCGCTGCCCGCCTGGTAAGACCCTAAGACCCCGTCTCATTTTCCAGTATGAGGATAGTCTGCCATTATGGAGTCAGAAGTCATTTATTCAGTCGTGACCGTTAATCAGAATCACCCCTATATTTGCAAACCGCTGAAGAAACTTGAAAGCAGGAATCTCATTGGCTCTTGTAGGCGATTTATATTTCCCAAATGCATTCCACACAGGATGTGCCATGCACTGGAAGAAAGATACGCTTGTCATAGGATTCCAACGCCATTGTAAAATGAATGTATCAGGTGGCTGCCCCAGTCATTGGCTCTGTGATGCATCGCGTGTAGGGCGGCCCATTTATTTCAGTGGGTTGTCCTACGTGGAAGAAGTGCGGGAAAAGAGGTCCCTGACTCTGAAAATGCGCCGCACCGTGAGGTTTTGCGTGCACAAAAACGCATGTGTTTGCAGATGTCTGGGGGTGCCATTGACAATTTATGGCACGGCCGTACACATGCTAAACAGCAGCACATTTCTCTGCATGTCAGGAAAGCAAAAGAAGGGCGCACTTTCTTCGTGCATTACCATGGTAAAAAACAAATTTATTAAAATGCATAAAATAGATATAAAAACAGAGACAAAGAGCCATCGGTAACAGTCCCAGATAGCGGGAGACCCTTGATGTGGCTAGTTGACACCTTTCGGGAGACACACTCCCTTCTGAGCTCTGAAGAAGGGAATATGTCTCCCGAAACGTGTCAACTAACCACATCAAGGGTCTCCTGCTATCTGGGACTGTTACCACTGGCTCTTTGTCTCTGTTTTTATATTTCCTTTGGTTTGTGAGTATGCACTTTTATGCAGGGGTTTCCAAACTGCGGCCCGAGGGCCAGATGAGGCCCTTTGCTAGCTTTTAGCTGGTTTAGTACACTATTCCTCCCAATGATATGAAGCATTATTCCTCCCACTGACACCAATGGAGCAATATTTCTTCCAGCAGTAATGGGGTACTAGTCCTCCCACTAATACCAATGATTGGTCACTATTCCTCCTCTCCTAATACCAATGATGAGTCACTATTCCTCCTCCTAATACCAGTGATGGAGTACTGTTCCTCCTACTAATACCAATGATGGGGCACTATTCCTCCCACTGACACCAATGATGGGCTCTATTCCTCCCACTGATACCAATGATGGGGCACTATTCCTCCCACTGACACCAATGATGGGGCACTATTCCTCCCACTGACACCAATGATGGGCTCTATTCCTCCCACTGATACCAATGATGGGGCACTATTCCTCCCACTGATACCAATGATGGGGCACTGTTCCTCCCACTGATACCAATGATGGGGCACTATTCCTCCCACTGATACCAATGATGGGGCACTATTCCTCCCACTGATACCAATGATGGGGCACTATTCCTCCCACTGATACCAATGATGGGGCACTATTCCTCCCACTGATACCAATGATGGGGCACTATTCCTCCTACTAATACCAATGATGGGGCACCATTCCTCCTACTAATACCAATGATGGGGCACTATTCCTCCCACTGATACCAATGATGGAGCTCTATTCCTCCCACTGATACCAATGATGGGGCACTATTCCTCCCACTGACACCAATGATGGGGCACCATTCCTCCTACTAATACCAATGATGGGGCACTATTCCTCCCACTGATACCAATGATGGGGCACTATTCATCCCACTGATACCAATGATGAGGCACTATTCCTCCTACTAACACCAATGATGAGGCACTATTCCTCCTACTAATACTAATGATGGGGTACTATTCCTCCTACTAATACCAATGATGGGGCACTATTCCTCCCACGGACACCAATTATGGGGCACTATTCCTCCTACTAATATCAATGATGGGGCACTATTCCTCCTACTAACACCAATTATGGGGCACAATTCCTCCTACTAACACCAATTATGGGGCACAATTCCTCCTACTAATATCAATGATGGAGTACTATTCCTCCCACTAATACCAATGATGGGGCACTCCTCCCCTTCCTACTAACCACCAACCCTGAGGCCATATGTATTCTCAATGATGCTGGGCCTGGGACATTTTCTATCCTCACTGGCCACAATCTGACCCCCCTAAAGTCTGAAGGACAGTAAACTGACCCTTTGTTTGAAAAGTCTGGAGACCCCTGCTCTAGAGGATGGTCCAATGTGGATTTTAAGGGGGCAAAAAAAAAAACCAAAGCACAATCCATACCAGACTCCTATCTGAGCATGCAGTCTAGCATTTATTTTAAAAGGTGTATCCAGATTCCAATAAGTCCCCCCTAACAACCCCCACGTCATCCAGGCCAGGAATGTGGGAGAGGACCTTGTCACCATCAATATGGGAACAAGATGCTTTGCCTGGCGGAGGCGGGGGGGGGGGGGGGGGGCAGCAAAGTCTTCTTCCCATGGTCGAGGGAACATGGCCTGGTATAGGGGCCACACACACTCACTGACCCTCCTTTTCCTACCAGGCGTGTTGTATGCTTTGTTAAAGGTCTAATATGGATTTTAAGTGGGAACTGATACTTTTTTTTTAGTTTTGTAATTTGCGTGGGGTACCCTCTCAAAATCCATATGATATTTTTTGTGTGGCCCCTTCCTTAATATCCATACCAGACTCCTATCAGGGATAAGGGTCTGGTATGGATTTTGGGGGATACCCAAGGTCTTCTTTTTTTTTTTGGCACAGCATCAATGATTGTTATGGCGAACTACAACAACCAATGACATACATGGTTGCAAACTCGAATCTCATCCCTAGTGGCACGCACCAACAACACAAGCTCAGTCTAGGGTATGTCTTTTTGCAAATTTAATGTGAAGACCTTGAACAGGAGAGGGATAAAGATGGTTCAGGATACTACAAAATGATGATAAAAAATCAACAGGAGGACAAACTTCTTTGGCACAAATCCTTATAGTAGCAGGCACATATGAAAGTCCCAATACCAGGACTTACTCACAATGTCCTAAGGGACGGCAGTGTGTAATGAAGGGGTCCTCTTGAGTCCTGGAGCCATTTGTTTAAATTTTTGTATACATGTTTTAAAAATCATTTTAAGCTTGAAGATTACTTAAAACCCCCAAAACATTATTTTTATTTTTTGAAAGCAGACACCCTAGAGCAGCGGTGGTGAACCTATGGCACGCATGCCCTCTCTGTCAGAACGCAGGCCAAGTCACCCCAGCATCTCGCCAGCAGCAGAGCATTGGAGCCATGAGCATGCTTGGAAAGGAGTAGCAGCGCCAGGCATATGCAGCACTTTAACAGCCATCTCCCTTACAGTCTCTCCTCTGCCGAGGGTCATCGGTACTTAACAGGACTGTGCTCTCTGTAGTCACCTCCTTCCTAGGTACATCTCTCCTGAGAACCCTCCAGGGAAGCAGCCTCATGCAGGGATCTCCAGTCCAGCCTAACAGGCTTTTTGCAATCCACACTAGCTCCAACCTCCATAAGGGACAAAACCAGGGGCAGACTGACCATTTGGAAACTCGGGCACTGCCCGAGGGCCCGGGGTCAGTAGGGGGCCCCATGAGATGCCCCTGGTACCTTTTTCATATAGGCTTTTTTGCGTTTGGGCAAGGACACGGGGGTCCTATGATCCTCTATTGCCCGAGGGCCCCATGAGTTGTCAGTCCGCCCCTGGACAGAACAACTACAGCCCACCGCCATTGTAAGAGAGCAACTCTCCACAGCACTGACCGCCATTGTAAGTGGGAAATTCTCCAGTGTACTGTCCACCATTGTAAGGGAGAAATTCTCATCTGCACTGACCACCATTGTAAGAGGGCAGCTCACCACTGCACTGACCACCATTGTAAGAGGGCAGCTCTCCACTGCACTGACCACCATTGTAAGAGGGCAGCTCTCCACTGCACTGACCACCATTATAAGAGGGCAGCTCTCCACTGCACTGACTGACCACCATTGTAAGAGGGCAGCTCTCCACTGCACTGACCACCATTGTAAGAGGGCAACTCCTAACTGCACTGACCACCATAGTAAGGGGAACCTTTCCACTTCGATGACCACCATTGTAAGAGGGCAACTCTCCACAGCACTGACCACCATTGTAAGAGGGCAATTCTCCACAGCACTGACCACCATTGTAAGGAGACACCTCTCCACTGCACTGACCACAATTGTAAGGAGACACCTCCACTGTAATGTCCACCATTGTAAGGGGGAAATTCTCATCTGCACTGACCACCATTGTAAGAGGGCAGCTCTCCTCTGCACTGACCACCATTGTAAGAGGGCAGCTCTCCTCTGCACTGACCATCATTGTAAGAGGGCAGCACTCCACTGCACTGACCACCATTGTAAGGAGACACCTCTCCACTGCACTGACCACCATTGTAAGAGGGCAGCTCTCCACCGCATTGACCACCATTGTAAGAGGGCAGCTCTCCACTGTATTGTCCACCATTGTAAGGGGGAAATTCTCTTCTGCACTGACCACCATTGTAAGAGGGCAACTCTCCACAGCACTGACCACCATTGTAAGAGGGCAATTCTCCACAGCACTGACCACCATTGTAAGGAGACACCTCTCCACTGCACTGACCACCATTGTAAGGAGACACCTCCACTGTAATGTCCACCATTGTAAGGGGGAAATTCTCATCTGCACTGACCACCATTGTAAGAGGGCAGCTCTCCTCTGCACTGACCACCATTGTAAGAGGGCAGCTCTCCTCTGCACTGACCACCATTGTAAGAGGGCAGCTCTCCACGGCACTGACCACCATTGTAAGGAGACACCTCTCCACTGCACTGACCACCATTGTAAGAGGGCAGCTCTCCACCGCATTGACCACCATTGTAAGAGGGCAGCTCTCCACTGTATTGTCCACCATTGTAAGGGGGAAATTCTCTTCTGCACTGACCACCATTGTAAGAGGGCAACTCTCCACTGCGCTGGCCACCATAGTAAGGGGACACCTCTCCACTGCACTGAACACCACTGTGAGGGGGCCATCATGATTGGCCAGGATGGAATGGTGGAACTCCTGAACATGTGCTTAGGAGATAGTTCATTCCAGCATTGAGGTCAGCCACTTCTCTCCCTGCTACAGGCTGTTCCCTGGTCCTGGCTCTGAGTGCAGGCAGGGGAAGGAGCTCAGTGGAGAGCGGCCACTCAGGAACACCAGGGCACCCCCTCGATCTGACCAGGTCTGTCTGTCCCTCCAACAGCAGAAAGCTGGCGGGAGGGAGAGGGGGAGAGACCTCAAACTGGCTTTCAGCTGCTGGAGGGAGAGATACACAGTGCATTCTTTTACAACTGCCCGCCCCATCACACCGATCCTCCTGCTGTCCGGGCCACCTACAGGAGTACCAGTGGTACCTCTCAGTTGGCGACCCTGCATGGTTCTGTCCACTGCTGCTCACTGGGTTGCTTCTTCCGGGGGGCAGTACCACACCCTGAAAAATAGCCGCTCTAGGTAAATGCCTTGTTTGCCTTGCAGTAAATTTACACTGGTATCAATGCAAGGTAACCCTTCTCCACTGACCTCCAATGTAGGGTAGCAATGCTCCACTGTCCACCATTGTAAGGGGACAACTCTCTGCTGCACTGACCACCATTGTGAGGGGACCCTTCTTTACTGACCCCCAACATAAGGGGGTGCTTTTCCACTGACCACCATTGTGAGGGGACCCTTCTTCACTGACCACCATTGTAAGGGGGGGGTTCCACTGACCACCATTGTGAGGGGGCCCTTCTTCACTGACCACCAACATAAGGGGGTGCTTTTACACTGACAGGTTCTTTATTGCAATAGAACTATGCTGTTCAGGCCTAAACCAACCGCCTCAACACTTGTCCCATGTGACAACCATATACTTTGCCCTCTACTTCGAGCCCTGATGAAGGGGATGTTCTGTAATCCCCCAAAACTCTGGCTGTGAGATAAAGTTTTTTATCTGTATCAGGACAATACACTTCCATTGGGGCACTTCAGTCTCAGATTCAGCCTTACACTAGTGGTCAGTGGAAAAGCACCCCCTTGCAATGGTGGTCAGTAAAGAAGGGTCCCCTCACAATGGTGGACAGTGGAAAAGCACCCCCTTACAATGGTGGTCAGTGAAGAAGGGCTCCCTCACAATGGTGGTCAGTGGAAAAGCACCCCCTTACAATGGTGGTTAGTGAAGAAGGGTTCCCTCACAATGGTGGTCAGACGAAAAGCACCCCCTTACAATGGTGGTCAGTGAAGAAGGGCCCCCTCACAATGGTGGTCAATGGAAAATCACCCCCTTACAATGCTGGCCAGTGAAGAAAGGCTCTCTCACAATGGTGGTCAGTGGAAAAGCACCCCCTTACAATGGTGGTCAGTGAAGAAGGGTTCCCTCACAATGGTGGTCAGTGGAAAAGCACCCCCTTACAATGGTGGTCAGTGAAGAACAGCCCCCTCACAATGGTGGTCAGTGAAGAAGGGCTCCTTCACAATGGTCGTCAGTGGAAAAGCACCCCCTTATGTTGGTGGTCAGTGAAGAAGGGTTCCCTCACAATGGTGGTCAATGGAAAATCAACCCCTTACAATGCTGGTCAGTGAAGAAGGGCCCCCTCACAATGGTGGTCAGTGAAGAAGGGCTCCTTCACAATGGTCGTCAGTGGAAAAGCACCCACTTATGTTGGTGGTCAGTGAAGAAGGGCCCCCTCAGAATGATGGTCAGTGGAAATGCACCCCCTTACAATGGTGGTCAGTGACAAAAGGCCCCTCCACAATGGTGGTCAGTGAAGAAGGGTCCCCTCACAATGGTGGTCTGCATTTAATTGTTTAAATTTTCTCTTTAGTTCCCCTTTAATCTGTGTATTTAGATGTTTGCCCAGAATTCAGCTTTAAGGGTTAAGTCATAATTCGCTCTACAGGTTTGTTTGCCATGAGAAAATTTTACCAACAGGAAACTTGTAGAGCCAGAGGCTTGTTATTTCCTGAGCCGAAAGGGGAAACGTCCACTTCTACTTTACAACGCAGGCTGGCTGCGGTTCCAGGAGGCGTCAGCAATTCTTGTGACATAGGCAGGGGACTGGGATCTGTTGCTAGGGATACACACGAAATTCTGTAGCAAAGGTCAGGCACTTGAT